CAAAACAAGTTTAAAATTGTATCACCTGTTGCTGGTTCGGTGACTACTTGATGAAAAAAACGCATCATGACCAGGAATAACTAGGCCCTACCAGTATTAGTAGCATTTATTCTTCAATCGATAGCCAGAAAGTTTAAGTTTCCAATTATGATACAATTACTGATAGTATTTCTCTAACAACATTAAAGAGATCTCTATCCATATCCAAGTCCAACCCTGGAAATCTATAGCAACTGCCCTGCACTGTCCTAATAGAACCTCTTTTGCAATCCTTCCCCAAAGTGATTTTGACCCAAACAGATTTAGTTTTGTCCATACTATTTCTTATTTCTTTACAGTTTATCACATCCTCATACTACCCCACCAGCATTACCTTTATGTATATCACTCCTAAACAGCACATATCCTTTAGTTTTGAATGCTGTTCCACCAGGTTTCCACCATGCCTTATATCCGATTTGACTTCCTGCACTATTTGTTCCAGTTCCTCCATTTTATTGCCCAGACTCCTTGTATTCGTGCACAAGTATCTCAGTTGTTTCCCTTAGAACTCACATAGTTTTCTAGCCAAACTAGAAATAGTCCTTTCACTAATTGTATCACCCACCTGACTACTATTCCAGTTGATATTTGTACTTTATTTCTCTTTGCTGTCCATACTCTTATCTTCTGGTGTTCCTTTACCTCTTACATCTTCATTTAGCTGATTTTCCTCCTCCTGTGTATTGAAGTCAGGCATGGAGATTACACCAATCTCCCACAGCCTCCTTCCCACATTTTCTAGTTTAAAGTCCTTCTTAACTACTGTGTCAGCCTTGATCCCAAAAGGTTAATACCCCAAGCACTCTAGTGGGGGGTCCATCAGGCGAGAATAGTCTTCCTCTGTGAATGCCTTGCAATGATTGATTAACCCCAAACCTTCCTCATAGCACTAATCCTTGAGCCACTTGTTGATCTTAATTATTTTGCTACACATTCACTCTCCTTCTGTAGGGTCCAGAAGTATCCCACTGAAAGTCATCTGAGCTTCCACTTCTTTGAGCATCTTACCAAGCCTAACATAACTGTCCTGGATCCATTCCAGTGGGAATCTAACAGTATCATTCATCCCAATATGCAGCACACTTGATGGATTTTTCCCCACTCCCATCAGGATCCTTTCCAATCTCAAATCCACATCTCATATCCTTGCTCCTGGCAGATAAAACACTCTTCTGTTCTCTGGATATGGTCTGGTGACAGGCCTGTCGTTTCTTCTCAGTATGGAGTGGAGTCCCCAGTGACAGTCTCTTCCTGGTTTTGGTATAAATCTGTCTTATGTTCTCTCTCACAGTCACCTGTAAAACATCCTCATTTTATCTTGGGTTCTAGTCCATGACTATCTCCATTGTCTCTTCCTCCCTTATGCATAGACTCGCTTCCCTTCTCTTCTTCTGCACCACCACAACTTCTGTCTGTTTCTCTTCCTCATTCTCCAGTGCAGTAAACTTGTTGTTCAACTCTATTTCACCTCCACTAGCCAGTCTCTTCTTCTGCATTGCCCTTGTGGTCATGTTCTTCAATGGATCACCCTCCGCTTCTGGCAGTTCGCCTTCCAGGTCCTTTTGTTCAGCAGTTGTCCGCAAATCTTGAGTTGTCTGAACCACCTCGTCTCCATTATAACTTCAAATCCCTGTCTGAATTCCATCATCATCTAATCTCGAATCCTTGGATCTTTTCTGCCAGGAATTCTAACTGGCGACATTTCATGCATAAGTAGCTTCCATCAGATACCCGCTCTAGGATTATGTATGACCCAGTTTGCACATCCAACCATCTTCATGTCATCTCCTCTTCAGATCAGTTCTAATGTTGCATCAGTAGCCATCATCTTCTCTTTCTAGTCCCTACTCCTAGAAAAAAAAAAAAAGACAAAAAACCTCCCACCTACAAACTCCCACAGAAACTCAGCTGTTAGCTGCTCCAATATTAACCAATGACTTGCTTTTAAACTAGTCAAAATAGGGCCAGGTCTACACTCAAAAGTTAAGTCGACCCTACTACATTGCTCAGGAGTGTAGACAGCATTAGGTTGACAGAAGAATTCTTCCATTGACCTGGCTACTGCCTCTCGGAGAGGTGGATTAGCTACACCAATGGAAGAACCCCTCCCAGTACTATAGCAAGTGTCTACACTGAAGTACTAGACTGGCAAAGCAGTAGTGCTGCAGCTGTGATGCTGTAGCATTTCAAGTGTAGACAAGTCCTAGGTCAGCACTACCCCCTTGTTAAGGGCTATCAGCAACCATTGGATCAAGTCACACACTTGGAACAGCTCACTCACAAATCAAAACTACACGTCCAGAACACAAAATCACCACTCGCCTCTCAGGGAAAACTCCCACAGAAACTCCACTGATAGCTGCTAGTTGTTCACTACCAATGTAAGGCACACTGTTGTAACACTACAGTGGTGGGTAAATACTAATGATTGCTAAGATTGGGTAAAACATGATCAACAGTTTTTATATTATAAAAATAAATAAAAATGAACGGTTTATTTTTTTCATAAGCCTTGAAATTGGAAATGTAAATACTTGGATGAATGTACTGAAATATACAGTGAATAAATACAAAAAGACAATTTTCCATTGTGGTTTCTGCAAATATGGTTGTATTTTTGCTGAAATGTTATTCTGCGACTCCTGCAGTACTTTGAAATAGTTTTCCTACACGAACAGAGATCATGGAGTAATTCTTCTTTCAACAATAGATATTAACAGGAATGGAGGGAGACAGCTGCTGAAGGCAATATTTGCTGCTGAAGAAAGTCTTGGGAGACTCATGGGGATGGAGCTAGGGACAAGCTCCTTGCAACCAGTCTGAGAAGCAGGAAATAAGTATCTTTTGCTCCCTCAAAGACATCAACCTGTTGGAGGAGATGGGGCACAAGTACCCATTACACTTAAAGAACAGTGTATCTAGCCTCCATAAACTTCCACACAGCCATGGGGCAGGGAAGCAGCAGGAGTAGATTACAATGTAACCAGTTTTGCAGTTAGATTAAGGAACTCCTTAGGACATTCCTCCTCATGGTTTTGTGAGAGTCATTAAGAGGGTGTAGAAGGAAAAGAGTCATTTGTTCCCCAAACTCTCTAGCCTGGCTAGGTGAAGTCAGAACACAGGTGCTTGTTCTCCTGACCCCACATGGATCTTTTTTAGCTGCAAATACTGCATCCTGGGAGGAGGTAACAAAACAACAAAAAAGCCAGAGTCCAGCCCTGCTTAAAAGCGTGTAAACTTCCAACTATAAATTGGTCACCTGATCTGAAAAAATGCACTTGGGCCATATCATACTGTTTCTATTCTTGATTAATCTTTTGAAGACTGAATAAAATCAAAGCACCTTACTCAATTACCCAATTAGTTTTGAATTCTGAGTAAGATGCTCTAGAATGGAATGACTAATATGAGAACTAGAAACGGCTAGTTATTTCAAATGATTAGACAATTCAATGTGACATGTCTAAAAGTTATCTGAACCATTGACAGCCTGATTTTTGTAATTACAAAGTTAAAAACAAATGGCAGTGGGGGAAGAGACTAAGCATGCCAGCCTCTCATCCCCCACCCTATCTCCTGCACAGCTAGAAAGCAGTGGAAGGGGTACCCTCCCCTCTCATCAATACAGAGCAGGTAGCCCCAAGGCAACTCCCACAGGCAGATTTAGCCCTTAGGAGAAGTAGACTTTGACAAACTCAGCAACCTGGTGATGTCATAAGAGTTCTGTAGGCAGGTGACCCCATTGTAATACATAGTACTTCTAAACCTCATTATTTCCTTTAGGTCAGTGCTTCTCAAAGCCAGTTCGCCGCTTGTTCAGGGAAAGCCCCTGGCGGTCCAGGCCGGTTTGTTTACCTGCCCCGTCCACAGGTTCGGCCGATCGCGGCTCCCACTGGCTGCGGTTCGCCGCTCCAGGCCAATGGGGGCTGCGGGAAGGGCGGCCAGCATATCCCTCGGCCTGCGCCGCTTCCCGCAGCCCCCATTGGCCTGGAACGGCGAACCGCGGCCAGTGGGAGCCGCGATCGGCCGAACCTGTGGACGGGGCAGGTAAACAAACCGGACCGGACCAGCAGGGGCTTTCCCTGAACAAGCGGCAGACCGGCTTTGAGAAGCACTGCTTTAGGTGACTATGGGATCTTGGAAAGTTAGTCTCACTCACTCCTTCCTCCCAGTACATGGTATATGGATTAACATGGAGTCTTACATAGAACAGAACAGGCTCATGTTTTTTTTACATGCTGCTTAATCAAGCCTTTCAGAATTCTATTTGTCTACTTACTGGGATAAGTAACTTTTTACCACCACAAAAATAGTGGTAAGAAGATTTTGTGCCCAAACTAGTACATTTTTAAGACAATTTTGCAAGTCTGCTCCTTTTAAATTATTGTTCACTCATTGCCTTATATTCAGCTAGAGACCAGTGAACAGCATCCATATCAGCTTTGGGCTTGTCTACACTTAAAATGCTGCAGCTGTGCCACTGTAACACTTTAGTGTAGATACTACCTAAGCTGACAGGAAGGGTTCTCCCATCAGCATAGGTAATCCACCTTCCGTTGACTCAGCACTGTCCACGTGGGGATTTAGGTCATTTTAACTATGCTGTTAAAGGGTGTGGATTTTTCACACCCCAAGTGACACAGTTAGGCCATCCTAATTTTCTAGCATAGACTTGGCTTTGAAGGAATAATTAAGCATTAGAGCAAGCAATCCTTTTACTAGAGACCAAGTGACTATTGTGACATTCCAAGAAGCAGAAGAGGAAGTGTCTCGGTGTTTTGGGTTTTTTTTTTGAAAAATCTGGGATTTATTAAAAAAAAACACCACCAAAATCCCACCCATAAAAACAAAATTGTCTAATCCTTTCTCCTTGTGGTTGCAAGTTTATAGCATATATTTACTTAACTCATATCTGGAGAAATCTAAGGTTGCAAGATACAGAAGGAACTATTGCTCACCTGTTTTGAAAGGGACCTCCACTTTTTAGCACCTGAAATGAGGGAGAAAAATTAATGTAATGGAATGGAATCAGTTAATGATTTATCCCCCTGGAAGGTACATATGAACCTCTTTCTTTTGATCATATATATGGGTGTCAGGAAGATGGGCTCACCCACGCCCCCAGATCACCTCATACTACAATCACAGCTCTGCCAAGCTTCTCCAACTCATACCTCCATCATTCAATATAGCTACACCTAACAGTGAATGCAGCTGTAGTTGATACAAACTCCACACAGTGGCTATTGTCAGCTCCAGGAGAGCAGAGATAAGGTTGCACAGACATGTACCTTAACCCCATTTTCTGGTTTTCCAAAATTAGAGTTTTGCTGAACTCAATGTTCTGGAAGAGCAAGAGATACCACTGGTCAACCTTAACTTTGCACTCATGGAGTTTTTTGTCAGAATTGTATAGCAATTAGACACAGCAGCTACAATGGAATTTAATTAATTCCTCATATTGAGATTTGAACATGACAACTTGGTTATGTTCATACCTCAGAAAGTCTGTGACAACACCACCATCCCCATAAGGTTTGGTATTATCAAGCCAAACATGTAGCAAGCTGGACAGTTCTTCATGTAACTTTGTGTTTAAAATCTTAAATCTGGATTACAGCCATCTCTCTACTGTACATCTTTTAAAAAGTCAACTCATTCTGATATAGGCTGATTTGCATTTGTATTAGTTTGGGGAGGGGGAAGAGCAAGGACAGAAGAGTATTTTGAACAGAAAACATTTGTCAATCATGAGACATTAGTTTAGAATGGCAAGCTTGCCATTCTAGACAAGCAAGTGGAATTTTACATTGGGCACGTGAACACACACAAACTCTACAGCTCAGCATTTGGCTGTCTATAATTTTTGTTGAGTCAGATCAGAAGTTAAAAGAGAGCAAAACACAATTCTATTTCTTCCTCTTTCCAAAGTTTTTTTGAAAGTGTAAACATGTATCCAGGTGATTAAAAATCATAGCATTACAAGCTTGACTTCTCACAAACAGTTTCAGATAATACACTATGATTTATTTCATAAACCCAATCCTTCACTAGAAATATAGGAATATAATTTTAAAGCTAATTATAGCTTTTGTTTTATACTATAATTTTATTACAACTGTCTAAAGTTAAATGTTTAGTTATGAAAAATATTTCACATTTTTACCATACTACTATTATCCAATGTTCAGTCACTGTTTAATCAAAAAGGAAGTAAACACACTCTTGACTTTTGCAGGGTTTATAAGATTTCCAGGGTAAGTCAATCACAATAGCTGTATTTATTCTACCAGAAATCTCATCCAAGTCTAGTATTATTAGCTTTTCTATATAGCAAAAGTAAATAGCTACTACTATTACTCTTAAAAGGGCACTTTTGCTTTCTGACAAAACTCAAGGCTCTTCTAGTGTTCATTCACTGATAGTTTAAGTGTGAGTTCTGCCCTCCTATGTTCTCCATAAGATATATGAACAGCCCTTACAGGCCCAAATCCATAGCAAGTTTAAAGCAAAAAAAATGCAAGACATGATTTTATTTAATATTTAATCTTTGATTCAAAAAGTCATCTTTCCATGTAATTCTATATTCAATAGAACAGGGCAGACAGCTAGTAATCTCTTCAAAATGATAACAGTAGGAATAATAATAGTAACACAAATAATTAATTACTTTACATCTTCACAGCTATATACAAATTTTAATTAATTAAATGCTCACAACACCTCTGTGAAATATTAGTTCAGTTTACAGAAAAGGAAACAGACCCAGAAACATTACAATAGCTGTGTTCCACGTAGCAAATCCAGTGGCACATCCAGAATCCACACAGCAAATGAGGGAGTAAAAGATTAGAACTCAAATGTTCATGGAATCAGAAGCTGGAAATGGGAAAGATCTAATACCTGACAGTCATCTAGTCCTTCCCCCCCCATGGCAATGCTCACTATTGTACATTTGCTAGCCTTTCCCCTCTCTAATTTTAAAATAACCCAAACAGCAGGGCTACCACCTTAATTTCATCCTCTTACATTTAGCCACACACTCTTACGCTATCCCTGTAATAATTACTTTCAGTTCTGAAGTCTCCTAATGCTACTAGTTTTGTAAAGTTAATCAACAAGTCTGACTGCATCCCTAAGGGTTTATAGATTAGCAGGATGTGCAGATTAGTACTGTCTCTGGCCTCAGAGATTAACTACATGCATTCAAAAGATTTTGATTCAAATAAGGTTTACTGAATTTGAGCTCAGAATGGAAAAACGGCTACTCCACTTCAGATTCTCCTCCCTTGGTGTATGTCAATAGCATATCCTGGGAGAGCTAACACTGGACTTGCAATATCAGCCAGGTGGACTTCTGCAACAGAGATTAGGTAATGCACCTCACTGGCAATAATATCATGGACCGTGAATGATGTAAGGCTTGATCCTATGCTATCAGAATCAATGGGACTTTTGCATTGATTTCAATAGTAGGAGGATCAAGCCCTTATTGACTAGAGATCTTATGTTGAGGATGAAATCCTTGTGTTTATCTATTTTGGATCCATGTGTGGTAGCTGGCTGCTTATTGCACCAGATTGGAAGTAGTAGTGTCTGGTGATCTTCTTTCCAAGCTTTTGCTAATGTTCTCTATTTCTTTTTCCTTATATGATTTATACTGTGGAGGATGATTATAGGAAGCATGCTTAATTGGCAATGACAGGAATTAACAGTGTGTTGGATAACTAGTGTGTCGCCAAACTACTCAACTCCCAGAATGACTGAGTGAAAGTGAACTGTTGGAGAGATCTGGAGCTGCAACAGCTGTTCAAGATATGATACATGTGCTCAGCACCCCTGAGTACTGTGTTATTGCTATACTGTGGGAAGCCTCTACTTCAGAGTATCTGAAAGTGGTGTTGCAAGTGGGTGGCTTTATATAAAGTGAGGCATTAGTCTGTTTGGAGGATGGTAGAGGAGTAGCCGCCTAAATCCTGATGTAAAGCTGGTACTTGATGTTGTCAGAGATGTCAACCTTGCTCTGAGACTTTTAGGGATGTTAATTTAAAAAAAAGGGAGGAATTAGGGAGGTTGCTTGGACCTCTCCCCTCTCCTAGCCTCCCCGTGGGGAAATCAGGACGTCTCCCTCCTCCCCTTCCTATCTAGGTCAAGGGGGGAGCCTGGGTCCACTCCTCATTGCGCTCCTGACTCCCACTTCCAAACAGGGAGAAGGAGAGGATCAACCCTTGGAAAGCTGCCCTTCTATGCCACTAGGACTCTTTATTATGTTGACCAGCCCCGGGCCTGGATCTCCTTCCTGGGATGATCCTTGTCCTCTTCTCACGCCTGTCATTTTTCTTCTCTTTTCCTCCACCATCGCTGCCTCCTCTGGCTTCTCCTTCTCTGCAAACTGTGTAGTGAGAATCTACACGGTGATTGTCAGTGGGGTTGAGGCACTGGATTCACCACCAAAGCCTCTGACTGCATGTTGAGTCCTAACTGCCCTCTGTGGACTCTGCTGGCTCACTCTAGGTGCCTAGAGTGTCTTACTGTAGTTGGGCAAGGTCCACACAGAGCAGTTAGAGTGCAACATACAGCCTGTGGCTTGGATGGTGAATCCAGCAGCGCCCCAACCCATTCAAAATCATTGCAGCTTACTTCCTATCAGACTGTCACTGCATAGTTTGCGCATATGCCAGGATTACTGAAAATCAGGGATGATTGGCATCTCTGCATTGTGAAAGGGGCTCCAATTTATTTCCTCTAAGTCAGGGAAAGGTTGGGGAGGGACAAGAAAGAAAGAAAATGTTAAATGCTGCTTCCTGGGTCAAAACTTCAAAGTTTTGGAAGTTCAGCTGATGTGCTGGTTCTTGGCAATGGATGGGGGTCTCTGGGCTACTCTCTGCTGAGAGGGTGGAGGTATTCCATCGACTTAGTCCTCATTAGTGGAAGGACATTATATCTTTTTTCTAGAGTTGTCATGGTAGATGAGGAAATATCTTTTATTGGACCACCTTCTGTTGGTGAGAGAGACACGCTTTCGAACTTACACAAAGATCACCAACTTTGTCTCTCTAATATCCTGGGACCAACCTGGCTACAACACTGCAAACTTCAAGAGTTGTAGCAGTTTTGATATCATTTGATTCAGACAGCTGCAGCCTCTCTTGTGCTGTTGCTGCTAAGAGAAAAGGGAAGGAAACTGTAGTCTGCACAGAGTCTTTCAAGCTCTACTTAAGCTGTATTAACTGGTTTTGCCAGTTCCCTGGTGATGGTTTCAGCACTCTTTGTGCTGTTGACTTTAGAAAGAGGGACTTTGACAACAACTCAAGTCAGTTATCATAAATCACTCCTAAGCAACACAAGGCATTCACTTTTCCCAGGAGTTGTGAATGTTGCCACCAGAGCTCAGCATTCCAAGTTTGAGAGCCAGAAAATCAAGCCAGTTAAGAATGTTCTGTGTTTGTACAGTGCCTAGTACCCTGGAGTGCTGGTCCATGATTAGGGATCATAGGCATTACAGTAATACAAATATTATAATAATAAATATATAGTAATGTTGTGTCCTACTACTCAGTCTGCCTGTGCATTTATCTTATTGGTGTTGAAACTGACATTTATAACAAACCAACTGAAGATGTGTGTGAAAAAGTGGAAAATAAACTATCAGGGAGCTTCTTCTGTGAATTTGTAAATGGAGAAAACTGATTCCCGCAGGGTCTGAGGTTCTTGCTCAGAGTGTTATTTGCTCTTTGGCCATGAGATGCCTTACACAATCTTGAAAGAGTAAAAAATAAAAACAAAATAGATGACAATTTAAAATGGTGAAAACTGCGATACAAAACTGTCCTAGACAGTGCACAGGAAAAAAGCACTATCTATACCGAAAAGGACACAAGAGTTCTACAGCAGTACTAGCATATTCAAAAAGAAGCTGGAATTGAAATTGTTAGTACAAATGGACTTCAAATTTTGCATGCCTATTATGCAAGGTGTGAACTATAAGACAATACAAAATGTTTAACTAAAGACTTCTAAGGGATTAAAAAGGAATTACAAAATTGGCTTTAAGGGCAATCAGTATGAGAAACCCTACAAACCTTCTGGATAGCATTAAAATGAATTCTGGAATTCTCCATTCTCCTTTTGGATCCTCAACAGTTCCTTTTCACATCAAGTAAAACAGAAACAGTAACTTAAAATAAGTTGAAAGATAACATGCATCATCAGCATTTAACACAGGAACTTCATCCATACAAAAATCCTACTTACGTTTGGGTGCATCACTTGTAACAGACTGAATGAAGTCATGTGGGGTCATATATAATTGGCCTTCAAATTCTAAACTGGCAAATATACGAAACCGTTGCTCTCGAGAAGTTGCATAAAGGTCCAGATCTTCAAAGTCTGATCTGCTTTCTGCGATCTTAACAGACAAAAAGAAAATATGAAGGAAAAGTTGTTCTATTGCATTCACCAATGTCTTCAAGACTCACTATAAAGCAAGTTGTAAATGGAAAAGGTGTAAAGTTAAATGCATGCATAAAAGTTTTGCAGGATAAGGGCCTAAGGTTACCAACAGGGTCCTATTAATTTTATTTTCAACCCCCTGTAAGTTTCAACAACAAACGTCCTTTAGACATGAAAACTGGCAATCTTAGGACAAGTCTACACTTAAAATGCTGCATCAGCGCAGCCTCACTGATGCAACTGCACCGTTGTAGTGCTTTAATGAAGACACTCTATGCAGAGGGGAGAGAGCTCTTTCATTGGTCTAGTTAATCCACCTCCTGGAGAGATGGCAGCTATGTTGATGGGAGAAGTTCTTCTGTCTAAATAGTGCTCTCTACACAGGGGGTTAGATCAGTATAACTATGTCGCTCAGGGATATAGACCAGACCTTACTCTCAGACAAGAGGAAAACTTTCACTATATATTTGGAGAGAAAAGTTCAAGAGTACCTTTGTTTGAAAAACTCACAAAAGTCTAACTATAACTGGAAGACAGCTTGGGAATCAAACTTCAGATAATACTTAAAACTTGTACACAGGACAGTTTGAAAGAAAACATGCAATGGGAAGGGAAGAAAATACTATTTTTTTTTTCATTACTTCCATGTGTAAAGTGCAAGTGTGGACAATTTCATATGCAAAAGGTTCTACAGGTGTAAAATTTCTATGGATATCCTGGATTCAATAGCTAGTACTATCAATACTGCTATACTTTGTGAGGAACAAACAGAACTCCTCTAAAGTTAAGAAACCGCTTAAATGGCATAACTTCATATGAAGTTCTGAAGTTTGTAAATGCGTGGAGTACTTGAACTCTTGGGATACTGCCAAAGACCTTTCATCTCATCCTGTGGCTGCAGGTGGACATTCCAACCCCTCAACGCTCTCTCTCTCTCTCTCTCACACACACACACACACACACACACACACACACGTATTTGTGTTGATTGGCATATTGCTACTATCAATTGACTCTATAACTAACTAGAGTAAAATCCCAAAGGATATCAATCCTCATGGTTCTCTTTTCTATTTTGCACAGTTTAATCTGATAATAGAATATTGGTTTTGTGGGACATGCACATGCACCCCTAACTGCCAGCTGCTGCTTGTAAACATTCCTTGGCCATGTAGCTAGACACACGCTTCTATGGAGGCAATATCAAGAAGGAAAAACTAGTATTTCAACCTGTTCATCACAAATGCAGAGAAAAACAACAGCTTAAAAAGGAAGAGCAATGATACAGTTAACTTTTACTAATATTTAAAAATCAGAAAGCAATATCCAAGCAACAAAAAAGCTATAATGTCACTCTAACCTTTTATTCATTTCACAGACATACCATTTAGTTAGTTTTGTCACCTAAACAATTTTGAAACTATTAAGTCAAAGACAACAATTAACAGATCTTAAACAGTAGTTCTTTTTTTTTTAAAACCACCCAAGAAACTAGCCACATAAAGTATGTTTTTAGAGAGGAGTCCGACAAAGGGAACAAGCTTAAGAGATGTTTGCAGTTAGCATCCACCTAACTACAAATGGAAGGTATTTTTTCAGAAAGCTTTGTAAATGTGAGGTTTAGATTTCAGTGATTGAAAGGAAAAGACATGTTTACTGGGTGGTCACAAATGTAGGCTTTCTTGAGTTCTGATTTCAAACATGTAAACATTTAGTCACCTGAAAAAGTCACACACAAGTAAAACTACAGGGGTGAAATAAAACCAAGCTGCCTCTGACTTGTAGCCCTCCCAATGACTAAATGTTTAAATTGGTGTAGTAGACCAGCTGCAGGGCTGGGCTCATAAATGGCTGAGTGTCAACAATTGGTTGAAAATTTCCCTTTGGGGACACATGACAAGAGTTACCTTGGACTGTAGGTCAGAAATAAAACAAACCAAACAGCCAAAAATAAAATACATATACAAATAAAAATTCAACCTCATTAGGGACAATCTAGATGAAGTTGCTGTCAATTTTTTCAATTTCTACACTTGTCGATATGCTAAACAAGGGTCCTGTACAAGTATCACCACAGATTTAGCTTGCAAGACTGTATGCAGTCACTTGTTATGCTGCCTCCTCAGTTCTTAGCAGAAGTTAAAATAATTGGCTATGTAAAGCTATTCTATCACTTGGCAAAATAGGTGAGAAACTTTTTGTGATCTGAAGGAAATAATCCATAATCCATGTTGAGAAGGAGGAAGGAGACACTGTATGCAGACCCCATTTACTGAAGAAAAAACAGTAAGTGCATCAAGTATTTGCTTCTGCCAATTGTTAACAAGTTCTGTGAAAGTGAACTTCTTACTAATCACTTTTTTCTCAGCTCCAGGAGAACTCACAAACTGCAAAATTAGCAAACTAATAAATTTCTCAGTATCAGAGACTCTATTAGGTTGAAAGAAAGTCTATAATCCATACAGTAGTATCATGCAATTCAAAATATTTTTATTTTTAGAAGTCATTGTTTCAAACCAAGATTACAAGGGTTATCAGTCCCCCCCTACCCTCCCATGAAGAAAGTGAAGCTGCTTGACCCTCTTTACTGGAGATCCCTGTCTGTGTGTGTAAGGCATATTTAATAGTATTCTGGGGACAAACAAGAGCCCTTCTGTGCAGTGCAAACCACACACACAGGGCTCTTTCCAGAAGGCCCAAATATTTTCTACATTTTAGATTAGCATTTCTATATTTTTTAAAATATATCAAAACAGTCAAATTTAATTTAGAAAAAATGTTTGCTACATACAAAGTAATAGTTTATCAGAACTGCCACTAAGAATTTTTTTTTTTAAGATCACATATACACTGACATTACAGTCCTGAGAAGTGACGGTAGTTGTGGCATTTTGGGGTTCCAAGTTTTAACATTTTCCAATGATTTCCAAATCAAATGTACAAGGATAAGATGTTTTTTCTAACTGCCTGCCCTGCAAAGTTACTGTGGGATGAGAATGGAAAGCTGGGTTCTTTCCTTCTTGGACATCCATCAGCAGTAATAAAAGATCCTGCAGGCCAAATTGTACTCTCAAATTATACACGTGCAAATCAGTTGCATTCAGGTTACGCTTTCAGTGAAATTTGTGCAACCTATCCTCTTCAGTGCGTTTACACAGATGTAACAGATTATCCCTGCAATCAGAGTTTTAGTTAACAATTCTGTTTATGATACACATGAAAAAAAGAGAACCCAGCTCATTCCCTCTTAGTTTGTGCAACTTCTGCAGGGCTAAAGAGAGTGGACAATTATTTTTATCTCTAGTATTAGCAGATATAATTCTGAATACACACAGGAAACAAGCACAAGTGCCATTTTTGCCCACTCATCTTTCACAGTAGGGTTGCATCTTAAGAATTTACTAAACAAGTATAATCATAACAGATCACAGTGACTCAAGAGGATCTATGGATAATGGATCACTTAGGAAGTTTTAGCATACTTTTCTATTCAGGTGCAGTACTTGGAGGATATGTTGAGGTTCCGTGCACTTTGAGGCAATTCAGACCATCTCAAGTAGTGTTGCTTATGTTTCCATGGAGACACTTCCAATAGTATTTACTGCATTGTCAGACACATACTTTAACATTTCTTAAGTGCTGAGTGCTACAATAAAAATAAAGTGACACACAGTATGCAAGAAAGTTTTAAGACATGCTTGAATTTAACTCATGTCACTTCTTAGCCCTGCAAGATCTTAAATGACAATGGTGAAATCTTGTTCCACTGACATCAATGGGGGGCATGGATCAGAATTCACGTTGCACTCCCTGTCAGTATCCGGCCCAGGCCGAGGAAGCTAATGATCCAACCAGTGGACCAAATTCGGAGATGAATCCTGGTCACACGCCACCTGAGGCGCACTGCGCATACACTAAGAAGACTGAAGTCAATGGGAGTTTTGCCACTGACTTCAATGGAACTAGGATTTCACCCTATATATGTTGCAATACTTAGACATTTTGTTTTGTGAATTAAGAGCAATACCCATTACTATGAATGTAGTTGCTTCCATTTTTCAGATTAGAACCAAAATACGTTTTACATCTGCCTACAAGCCTATAACAGCAGCCTAATCTACTGTACTGGTATACTGGCTTTCATAGATTCATTTATTATGTATTCGTGTACTATTTATTTATACATATAGTCGGAAACTAGGTAGAATTTTGTCTGGGAAAGATTCCAGTCAGACACTTTATAGTGAAGGAGAGACAAAATATCTTTAGGAATACATATTGTTTTCCTTATTTAAACAGAGTTCAGTGTTAGAAGAAAGCAATTCTTTCTGCAATTCTTTACCAAGTCACAATACATTTTTCACACTTAGGGTATGTCTACACTACGGGATTAATCCGAATTTAGATAATTCGAATTTGGGAAACAGGTTGTATAAATTCGATTGTATGCGGACACACTAAGCACATTAATTCGGCGGTGTGCGTCCATGTACCGGGGCTAGCGTCGATTTCTGGAGCGTTGCACTGTGGGTAGCTATCCCATAGCTATCCCATAGTTCCCGCAGTCTCCCCTGCCCATTGGAATTCTGGGTTGAGATCCCAGTGCCTGATGGGACCAAAACATTGTCGCAGGTGGTTCTGGGTACAGCCTCACCCCTCCCTCCCTCCCCCCCTCCCTGCATGAAAGCAACGGACGGCAGACAACCATTTCGCGCCTTTTTTCCTGGGTGAACACTGCAAACTCCATACCACGGCAAGCATGGAGCCCGCTCAGCTCAAGACAGCAGTCATGAACATTGTAAATACCTCGCGCCTTATCGTGCAGTTTATGCTGAACAAGAACCTGGAAAACCAGGCGGAGAGGAGCAGGCAACAGCAGCGCGGTGACGACAGAGATGAGGATATAGACATGGAATTCTATCGAACCGT